CAATACACACTACGTATGAAACAATACACACTACGTATTGATTCAATACACACTACGTATGGAACAATACACACTACATATGGAACAATACACACTATGTATGGAACAATACACACTGTGTATGGATTAATACACTCTATGTATTGTTCAATACACACTACGTATGAAACAATACACACTACGTATTGATTCAATACACACTACGTATGGAACAATACACACTACATATGGAATTCAAAACACACTATGTATGGAACAATACAGATTTTTAAAATTTATTTTATCAACTTGTCTTCTGAAGATGCTCTGTGTTGAAGGATCAGTGGATCTGTGTTCGACTACTCCACCTAGGCTGCATTGTCGAGCACAGAGAAACTTGTTTCAGCAACATTTCATTTAAAAACTGTACTTTTAAGGTTAAAATAAATGTTCATAATTAATTTCAATAAATTACAAGTTAATAAAGATAAAATAAGTCTAAAAAAGTGGAACTGCAATGCTTTGGTCTGAATTCCTGGGTATTGTAGCTTCACAAGCCCCTCCTTCATGATTTTTCTGTGTCTCAGATTGACTCATTTTGAGGCTGTCTCTTTAAATACAAACAAGGTGTTTTACCCCCGCCCTCCTTCATGCCCACTCTCAGTGATCATTGTCCCCTCTACTGCATTTTAAGGCTGGGTTTAAAAAATCGATTTAATCGATCTGGATCGATTTTTGTTCAAATTTGGGAAAATTGATTTTTCCCCATGTGTGTTATGTGCGATGAAATTGCGCGTTTCCATGTTGTGTGTTACTCCTGACCTGCCATAGGTTTACATCCAGTAAATCCAGGTCATTGCTAATGTTAGCTCCCTCTGGGGCAAAACAAAAGAAACAAAGGAATCACTAACATTACAGCTGATTCTCAGTAAAACAAAGATAACAGAGACCAAGACATTTGTTTGCAAARATTTGTGCTCAGATGTGGTAGCGGGAAATGAAGCTTCGAGCGGCTCGAACCAAAACTACAGTATGTTAACATCTGACTGAAACTGTTCTCCTCCTTTATAAATGCGTGAAAGATGTCAGTCTAACAAAATTGTTTAGTTTTGTTACCAATGTTATTTATAAAATTAAGAAACATCTTAATGTAATTCACAATGATGGAATGTTGCAGCTGAAATACTTTTTATCTTTCTTCTTGTTAATAAGTTTTATTGAACAGAAGGTAACAGAAACATTACAAATATACAGTTTTCATACTCTCAAAAGAGTGGACAGAAGTAAACACTTATATTATCCCACCTCTTYTCCTGYAASYTTATTCCATCACTTCTTARTGATCAAGAAAATTATTCTTAGTTTCTTAAAAAACTAATGTATCCAACAACGTTTTCTCTCGCATTTCCTTTTTAATTTAAACCTTCGAAACTTGAGACAGTTTTGTTTCAAGATTAAACTCCAATTTACAAGTTTGTCCTTTATGTTTATCGTTTTACCAATGCACCAAGTTAGAATTAGTTTCTATTTACAGACTTAGTTCCTTTGAGAATGTCTTCTATATCAAAGCAAATGTGTTACTGCATGATATCCTTAACTAATTTAAAAATCAATCAAACTGAATCGTGAATCATCGTGAATCGAATCGAATCATTTTGGGAAATCTGAATCGACACCCTGCCCTACTGCATTTGTAGTTGGATAATGGAGAAACAATAATCTAGCAGCGCAAATTTTTTCTTTACAAATAAACTAAAATATTACAATGGACGGCTCGTCCATCTAGCCTTAAATGTTAGACCCAGTGTCTGACCCAGAGAAAGGTGAATGAAGACGACAAACCTGCAGAACTGCAGATTCACAAAATTGGTTAGTCAGAAGTACACGACCTTGTTTAGCAGTTCCAAAGCAAATACTGTGACGTAGTTGTCTAGAAAATGTCATAGAAAATAGCGAAAACTGAACAAACTGAAAGATATGACCCAAACAGAATACAAAGGTATCTATGCAGCACAAGGAAGATAATGTTCTGCCTCCTAGAGCAGGGATGCCCAACCAGTCGCTCGCGGGCGACTCGTCGCCCGCCAGCTGATTCCCAGGTGCCCGCGCAGCGCAACCTTGCTGCGGAGCCTCTAGCGCCGGCTTTGAGTGTCGCATCCAGGAGTGGCTGGTCTTTTTTGAAAGCTCTGGCTCTGCCCTACAAAGTGAAGTTGAATGAAGTCCCTGCGACGTTCCCCTGCGGATCAATAAGCAAAAAACCTCCAAAACATGCACCGTCGGACCTCTCACTGGGGTGTTTTTAGCCCCCCTCCTGGGCTAGGAGAGTCGGATCCCAGCGTCGATGGTTGAGTTTTAAAGCCCCGGTTCTCCCCTACAAGGAGAAAGTTGAGTGGAGTTCCTGCGACATTCCCCCGCGGAGATATAAGCRAAAATCCTACGAAATTACGCACCGTCGAACCTCAGCCGGGGGTGGTTTTAGCCCCCCCTCCTGGGCTAGGAGCGTCGGATCCCGGAGTGGCTGGTCGGGTTTAAAAGATCTGGTTCTGCCCTACAAGCTGATACTTGAATGGAGTTCTGTGACATTGCCCCGCGGAGCTATAAGCAAATTACGCACGACTTAATGCATTTTACACGCATTTTTGGAGGAAATTTCRACATTTGTTTGCTTCTCCTGCGGCCTCTGAGCATCGGATCCAGGAAAGTGAGAATTTTGGAAAGCTACGGTCCTCCTCTACAAACTAGAGGTGGTTGCAAGTTCCTGGGATGTTCCTCCGCGGAGCTATTAACCAACGACCAGCTGAAAAAGGCGCTTTGGCAGGCGATATACCACTCAATTTACTGCGGAGCCTCTAGCGCCGGCTCTGAGCGTCGGATCCGGGTGGGAGATGGCACATTTTAATATTCTGGATCTCCGCTACAACCTGGAGGTGGTTGCAAGTTCCTGGGAYGTTCCCACATGGAGATATAAGCGATCAAATGTCATCAGGCGAGCTCCAGTGGGTGAAACGGCTGATTTCCAGCATGGGGCTGCTTGTGCTGATGCAAGGGAATAAAAGGAAGAGATCCAGTGAGGTGGAACCGTGGTCCTACGTCCAGCACTCACTCTCCTACCTGGATTCAGTCAGAACCCCCTGGCGGGTGATATTTCTGCAAAAATGCATATGCAAATGCCTGATGGCTCGCTTCCAGGCAATAAAAGGAACAGATCTGGTCAGGTGAAACCGGTCCTGGAAGCTCAGCACCGGGTTTTATAGCCGCCTGCAAGAGAATTTTGTATTGTGTTCTTTGATTTTGGAAAAAAGGGGGGGCACTCTTGTGGCAGCCATGTTGACCCTGATAGATTTTTGTTTTGTTTTTCCTCCCCTGTATGGAGAGAAGAGAGGAGAGTTCTTTGAATAAATGGAGACAAGTGCTCCGAAGTTATTTGACTCTGTGGTTCTCACTGGGAATGTTTTCAGCCCTCATAGCTCACACATTACAGGGAGTAATAATTGAAGGAAGTAAAAAAAATGATCCTTTTTGTTCGAGCATCAGTTTTACGTTTCTCTGTCAGGAGTTAAATAAGGATTTTTTTCTTTTCTTTCTTTGTAGGTAAATATATGGTTAAGTAGATAGTTTTGTTTGACAATACTTTAAATTAAATAAAACTAGCAACACATTAAGTTCTGTTTTATTTACTTTAAAGAAGTGAGGAGTAGGGAGACCATATTATGTTTTTTTGACACTGAGACTGGACGAGTAGCTCTTTGCAAACTGCCGACTTCAAAAGTAGCTCTTGKTTTAGAAAAGGTTGGGCACCCCTGTCCTAGAGACTCCAACAAAATGTGTTTAAGGCTAAAAAATTGGATTTTGTATAATGTCTACTTTAAATTACAGTCTCCTTTACACTGAATGACCTCACTATGAAGTAAAGAATCAGAAAGTGGACAGTCTCTGCTGGGTTTTGGTATGGAAAAGTTTACTGTGATCCAGCTCCATTCTAATAAGCGGGTCATGTCGGTGAGAGTAGTGAGGTCCTTATCCAGTGTTAATGGAGCCTCCTGACTTTATCTGAACAAACATCCTCAAGTTGTGGAAATGATTTGATCCTATTTCATTTCAGTTATATTATTGATCTGCATCAAGCTGTGTGGAGACAAGAATAGGTGCAGCACAGTTTCCTCTCAAAAATATTTGATCAATAAAAACAGAAAAACATAATTTTGAGTGCTTTACTTCAAATGTACAGAACACACAAAAAGTAYGGCAATTAGAAGTTTAATTATAAGGTTATTTTAAGACTAAATTATTAGGTTATTCCTTGGAAACATATTTAGCAGTGTTCACCAAAAAGTATCAATAAATATATTTTCTAGTATTTTTCCAGAGGAAACTATGAAAGAAAATCTGACCATTTTGAGTAATTTACTTCAGATGTACAGTCCACACAAAAAATGATCTTAACCCGTTTCTTCGTTTCAGGGTCACTGGTGCCCATATCCAGCAGTCAAAGTGCGAGGGGCMGGAGACACCCTGGACAGGTTRCAAGTCCATCACAGGGACACACATAGAGACTAGAGCTGGTAAAACCGGTTCACTTTATGGAACCGGTTTAATTTGAGTCAATCACTAAAATAACCCGGCAGCTTGGACCCGACTCGTCTCAAGCACACCTGTTTCTGGGCAGATGAACCAAGACGCTCGGACCCAGCCCAACACGAGTCCAAACTGTTTTTCTGGGGAGGTGAACCGAGCCGCTCGGACTCGACAGCAGCTGGTGAGTTAGCGAACAGACACGACTGAAGCATTCKGGTGAYGCTGTTCTTTTWTTTTCTCAGTGTGTTTGMTAGTTTGTGGACRGTAYTATGATGTCTGCCTGAGGACATTTGGGATTTGGGTTAATTCAGACTTCAGATTCGTGGGACCTGATTCAGTGCTAGGACTCGTATCATTAACTCGAGTAGCTCAGAAACCGGCCAGCTCTGAGACAAACAACCATTCACACTCACACCTAGGGACAATTAAAGGGATCCCTGATTAGTTGTAACATTAGACTTTAATGATAAAAAATATATTTTCACTGTAAAGACTGTAAAAATACTGTAGGCTGCTTAGTTTTGTAAATGTTTAAAAATATATTTTAACATGGACGGAGCCATTTTATTTACACACAAAGCATTCTGGGTAAATGA